ACAATCAGAGTTTAAGCGCTCCGCTCAGTAAAGAAGCAGTGTACGTGCTTCTAGGCCCTTGAGAAAAAGCGCCTGGAGTGAAATGCACGCTGGGACTAGAACCGAGTGAAATCAGTCAACCAGAATGAGAAGGAACGGATCTACGAGACAATGAAAGTATCCCCTTGGAGGCCCGAGTCGGATAAGCCGATCGAAAGAGTGGGATTCGGGGTAAATAGCAAGTGTGATGAGGTCACACTCGGTTTGCCACAAAATGGCACACATTTTGACGAGTGGAATGTAAACAAGTGAGAAGATGTGATAGGGCGGTAGTGGAATAAGAGGGTAAAGAGTAGATAGATAGACCAGGACAAAAAGAGTAGTGATAGTGTAATCGTCTTCGGCAGAACATTTGTCGAGGGATTTACTTCACTTGTCTCTGTCGAGTTCGTAGCTTGGTGCGGAAATTGGCAAAACTCTCTGATGATGCCGACTACTATGCCGGCAAAGCGTTTGAGAATGTGCCGAGTGTTAGAGAACTTCGGATTAGGTGAGTTCTACATAGTCCCCCTGACAACAACACCAGGTTGCGACAACGAGGTCAATCCACTTCAGTAAGCTATTTAAGTTTATAGATCTCAAGTCTAGATTAAGAATGGATCTAGGTTGTGTTCTCACTTTGAATGATTTTCAATAAAACTCCAAATCATGCTTGACCAGAAGTCGCAGAGGGTCCGGGATCTGATAAGTAAGCGGTGTGACAAGAAATTGCTTAGCTGTGGGATAATAAGCGAGCGCAAGACCAAGCCAACCCTGGCAAATTTTGATGGTTCTCTATTGAAGGCATCAACTGCTACAGACGAAAAGAGGAGGGATCCAACCACAAATATCAACGGGACACTGAAGAATATACTCACGGAAATGCATAATAAGGGGGAAATTGACAGATGGAGGATGAAATCTTTAATAAAAAAATGACGCAAGGCCACAGACAGCCTACGGACTACCGAAGATACACAAGGTAGGAAATTCGCTAAGACTAATAGTAAGCAACAAGCATGGAGCAATACACAAACAAGTGAAATTCATTTGCTTGAAGCTCAAGAAAGTAAATGACAGACTCTCGAATACCGTTAAGAATTCACATGAATTTTCTCGAAGGATCCAGAACATTGGGTTGGTGGGGTCGGAACTTTTGGTGAGTTTCGATGTACAATCCATGAACAAAACATCTTAGGTGAGAAGGCGATAAGCGCCTTGCTGGAGGTTTTGTAGCCAGAAGAGGATATCCTGGAGACAGAACGGATACGGAAGGAATCGTTAACACGATTGATCAACCTGACAGTAAGGACCACATATTTTACATTTAAAGACAGTATCTACGAGCAAATATTTGGACTGCCGATGGGATCTCCACTCTCACCTCTTTTGGTAAATGTGTACATGGACAAGTTGGGCTAGTTTAACAATGAACCTAATCAAAGCAAGCAGTACCACAACATTTGTGGGTTGGCGCACAAG